CCATGATCATCACTGTAATATCTCTCCGGAAATTCTTGATTGCTCACGTCACCATCGTCGTACTCTACCCAGTCTTGAAAAGTCACGCATCTTGAGCTTTTCCCTTTGCTCTTTGGAAAATATAATCGAGCCTTTGGGGTGACCGGTGCACACTCAGTCTCGGCGTCACTGTCCACGATGTCCTCCCAACTACATGCCGACTCCGCTTCACTCTCAGAGTCTTCCCATAGTGAACTTGTGGCAATCACCGGCATAGCCTTCCCCTTCTTCTTCTTCTTCTTCTTCTTCTTATTCTTCTTCTTCTCGGATCCCGCTTCACATTCCGCTTCAGAATCCTTCTCCGCCGGTGCCGAGTTCTTCGGGTGCTTGAACTTGCAGTCTTTCCCCTTCTTGCAGGTCCCCCTCTTCCAGAACGAGCATATGCCATCACCTTTGGAACGATCTCCTGCTGGCGAACCGCTACGCTTCGGACCTTGCTCAAATTTCTTCTTCCATTCTTCAGTGTAAGTACTCTTCTGATGACTGGTTTGCAATCGACCCCTTTCGTACATTTTCCACTGTAGAAATGGAACTGACATGGAATGTTCTTGGTTTCCCCGGGAGATTGATCTCTGGGCTTGGACGGAGATCTTCCTCGTGGCTTGGGCTTGTCCTTCGGCTTCTTCTTATCTGGAAGCACCGGTGCTGAAGCCTTGGCATCCTTCGCCTCCGACTTCGCCCTTGGTTTCGGCTTCGGTTTCTCCTTTTCTTTCGGGGAAGGAAGGGCATTGCCTAGCCTGTGGTCTTTGAGCGACTTCTCCTTGTTTTCCCAGTTCTTCTCCTCCTTGTTTGCCTTGACCCGTCGTTCAATCATGTTCAGCAAACAAAGATGGGTCTTGGCGGGGTTGCCACGCTCCATGTGCTCGTACAACTTGAGGTCCAACTCCAGTTCCTTCGAATTCCCTTTGAGCTTCGGTACAAAGTGTCACGTAGTTCCTCCTCATGTGGTACAGACTCAGGTTTGATCCCCGCAATGATGTCCAACCATCTCTGCTTGAATTCCCCCATCTTCTTGTCACCTGGGTATGATAACTTGTACAAATGTTCCACCCCGAAGACAAGGTTGAGTCTGTCATAAGTTCGGAGACTTTCCAGCACCATGAAAATCATTTGTCTTCCCGTAATAGCCTTGCCCTGTTTGATCAGCTTGGTGACGAGCTGCTGAACTTCCAGGGCTACCTCGGACGCCACATCTCCAGCGGATTTGATCATCTTCTCCATGCTGATAACCAATTTGCTGTCGACACCTGAGAATCTAGACCCTCCACTGTCAGATAGGCTCTCGACGCTGGCCTTTGGGCTAAATGCTTCTGCTAGCCATGCTGACCATGCTTCACTGTCTGGGTCTCCGCATCCAGCAAGCACATTCGACAGTAACTTGCCCTTCCACATGTCCAGTTGATCGATCTTCGGCCACGAAGGGACGCTGATCGTTTCCGCTTCCTTCCTTGTAACCTTAGTCTCAGTAACCACATCGGAAGAAGAGCCAGGCTGCGCGGGAGCAGCGGAGGCTTTGGGAGACCCGCTTCTAGACCTCGGTGCAATTCCCGGTGGTGGTGCAACTGTACCTCCGAAATTGGGTAATGCGTCGGTCTGTTCTTTAGCGAGTTCATCGTATCTCCCATTCACCTCTTCAAGCTCATCGCGTAGTTCACTCCTTTCTTCCCTGAGACGGGTACAAGTACTCCGCAGTTCTTCGTTCTCTTCATCCATCGTTTGAGCAACGGAATCAGCTTTGCGAGCCTTGGTCAATGACTCCCTGGCTTCATCTTCAACCTTGCGTTCGTTGTCTCTGGCCGCCAAGTATTAAGACTTCAAGTTGTCCATGCTCTTTTCATGTTGACGTTCACCGTACTGTTGTATTGACTCGAACTGCTTCTGAAGGGCGCTATACTGCTTGTTAGATATACTCTCAACCCATTCCAATTTCTTCTTCATCATTCCAGCTTGTTCCTCAGCCAATCCGGAGGAGACCGAAGTGCCGTGCCCCCTCTTCATGGCTTCGGACAGCTCTCCCTTCAGCACGGTTGCGGAAGTCTCTTCTTGACTCAACCGGCTCTTCAACATGTCCACCTCCAGCTTGGCCTGATTTTCCAAATTGTTCACCTCCATTCGGGCCTCGCTGGTTAACTGTAGTCTCACAGCATTGGCTTCTCGATCAGCCAATATCTTGGCAGGCTTCATCCATTCATCCTTAGATTCTGCCTCAGACAGTTGCTGTACCTGTGTTATCAACATCTGAATCTGTCCATCCCTGTTGGAGACCACATTGTTATGGAACAGCTCAGCACTTCTTTCCCTGGCCTGCATGGTCGACTCTTCAACTTCCAACCTTTTGCGAAGTTGATCAATCTCATGATCCAACCTGGCCTTCTCTCCCTTGCCGAAGTTAGCCTGAGATTTATACTCATCTGCAGCACTTGTCGCCTGCTGCCATGATGCCGAAATTTCACTCATTTTGTACCGTAGTGATTCATTGTTGAGATCCTGGGCCATAGCTTCCACTTCAGTAAGTCTGGCCTTTGTGTCTTTGAGATGCTCTCTCGCCAGGTCTTGCTCGTCCTTCATCTTTCCGTAAACGTACGCGACCTGGGATTCAAGGGTGTTGTTCATCCTCTCCAGCTCCATGATCCTCTGTAAGCTACCAGCTTCATCGGACTCAACGTGCTGAATGGTAGATTCCATCTTAATGCATTCCGACTTCAATGCGCGATTCTCATCGTACTGCAACGCAGCTTCATTCAGTTCTGATTCCGCCCTTCTATGGTAGTTCCGCAATTCATCATCAAGTTGTTGGTCCGCACTCCTGGGGTCGCTTGGAGAACCCCTTGGGGAAGAAGACTTCTCTCCCTTTCATGATTTGCGAATTTGCACTCGCCCATCGCCATCATCTGACGGTGCTCTCGATCAGGGTGAAGCTCTGACTTCCATGGCCTGGTCCATGCCGGCGTTGCTGTTCCTGAGTGTGCTGGGTAGCACCGACCCAAAGCGGTTGCGGGCTGTGCACTTGGCCCCCACCTCGGCTTTGGTGTTTGTGAAAAGGAGCTTTTCCCTTGCGCAGCGCATGCGTGACGAGGCGAACGGGCGGGTGGCCCACTCCTCCGGACTTTCCCCGCTTGGTTTAGCGCTGAGACGTCACCCCGTGCTAGACAAATGGCGGCCAATAGAATCCGTTGCTTGAGCTGATTGGGGTTCATTGACCTGCCTACCCCTCATTGCCTTTCCCTCCTTGGCACATTCCTCTTTTGCCGTCAGAATTCGCTGAGCAAGATCACCCTTCGCTGATCGCCTGAGCTCTCCGAGAATCTTCGTGTCCAAAGTCACGAATTTCCCGGGTTCACAGAGCTCTTCCAACAGCTTTTTCTTGTCCTCGCGATCAGAAAAAACTTCCATGCATTCACGGTACCTCTGAGGAGTAGGCATCTCCTTGAAGCGCAACGTCTCGCTTTCGCGAGTTCTGGGCTTTTCGTCATCCGTGTGACCCTTTACCAACTTCATCAACATCTTAGCGAATGCTTCTTGACCGAGGTTGGGCCCTAGGCCGTCACCCTCGTCCTCGTCTCCTTCTCCATCACCTTTCCCATCATCACCGGGCCTTGAACCCCGTTAGCCTTTCCTCCTTGCTTACGGTCAGTTGGCATTGGCCCCTGAGAGAATTGCACGGGCGGCACAGGTCCACTCGTCTTGACCGGGGATTGACCACTGCCTGATGGCTTATCTGCTGGTCCCTGCGGACTGCGGGCTTTGGCTTGCAGTGCCTCACGCTCAGCAGTTGGCATAATGCTGGGAGTATACTCAGCTTCATAGCCGTCATTGACAACGAGTGACCTTAGCTTTTCCTTTGCATATTGAAATGGATTGGACAGCGGGTCCAACATGGACCTATGCGACCGAGCTGACTTCATGTCGTCAGTCATTAGCTCTGGCGAATCCTCTCGGGTATCGCCTACCCCTTTGGGCTTCGATCCATCCTCGCGGAGGTCGTGGGGCATCTGATATTGCTTGAGCTCATCAAGCTCATCCTGCAGAAGCCCGTTTTGGTGGGCCATCATGTCAACCATCCTGGCATGCTTTGCTTCTTCACGTGCAACGTCATCAGCATGCTTTACGGCTTGCTCCTGAAGGAGCCGCTGAGCGTCTGCCAGGGTGGCTTCAATGGCTTGCCTAAACTCATTTGATTTGCGTCTCATCTCCATATCATGCAATGCTTGGGCGTTTTCCTCACACACATGGCTTATCCTAGCTTCAGCGAAGTTCACTTCTTGGTTGAACTCATCGCTAACTCGCTGTTCGTATTCACGAATTCTATGCGACTGGGCTTGCACACACTCAGCGTAATGTGCATGCAGCTGATTTTGTGCGACACGGAGCTCCTCACGGTTTTCCGCTTGCAAATGCGTAACAGCTGCTTGATGCAGGGCTTCGGCTTCGGACCTAATGGCTGCATCATTCCCAAAAGCAAAAATAGCTGCATTGTACAGTTGAAGGGAATTCATCAGGGTGCGGTTATACTGCGCATTGGCGCTTGGCGCGAACATTCGCGCACCGCCGCCGGTGGCGTTGTCGGAGCTAGCTCCGGCTGTGTCCACAGGCATGTCGGATCCATCAACTGGCACAATTGAACCATCCATTGCTTAGAGCTAGGGGCCTACGGCTGATAACCTATAGATTCGAGGGTTACCGGTTTGGGGCCCAAAAGGAAACAACAAACCGTCCAAGTGCGCTGCTCGCACATTTTCACGCTTGAACAGCCACACTGCGGATGCAACGGATGTAAAACCCCATAATGACCGATCTAATTCTTCAGAATGTACCTGTACAATGTAAAGGTGAACACTGGTGTGTGCACGCCTTTAGGCTGCAAACTGCAAACAAGAAGGTGTGATAAATGACGGGGTTTTGAGGCTAGCGATCCCTGAAAGAAGACCTTCACAGCTGGGCAACAGCCTGGGAGCCCGCGCACAGATGACCAGATCGTGTCACTAAAAGCGTAGTTGCCCTTTCGGACACGCTGTGCCACCTGTCACATGGCCCGAAAATGCTTCTTTCATGGCCATGATTGGCCATGCCAAAGCATCCCCTCAGCCAAAGCACCGGGCAAACGCTGGGATCCAAGCAGAGCCTTTCCCACGCGCAACCGGGGACATCAAAAAACAAGCAAGTGACAGCTAAGCCGATGCCGGTTTCTCGCCCGGCCAAACATTTTGAACAACTCCTCCAACATGGACAAAATATGTTTTTATGCCGTTCCCCATTTCTCCTTGGCCAAATGCAAAACCAGCCCCGGTGAATTGACAAAAAGCTAGTGCCGGACTTCTCCTCAATAGGCATTTGCATGATGCTAAGCCATCTTAGTGAATTTGGGTAGGGCGCATCCTAAAATGCAGACACAACCAATTCAAACAACACACTTGCTAAAATGTGTGACATGCATGCTGCCAAAGAACCAAGCAGAATGCCAATCCCCGTCCTTCTCAAAAGCGCCCCGCGATACAATTCCACGGTTCAAGGATCGCCCAAGGTTATGAGAGGGGAGATGCAGCAGCACAGCAAACGCCTCTGGCCCTGACGGCTGGCGGGCCGGGCATTTTGAATTATCGGAAAGTCGACTGATCCGACCATAGCATACAACTTCTGCAACGCAGAGCCAATCCGTGTTAGCATCTGCAAATTGTGTTGGCGTGAAATGCACCTGCCCGCATGCTTTCGCTGACATGTTCCTTGACCATTACATATATGTATATATATGCAGGTGCCTCATTTTCCGGGTGGGACCTTTTGCCTGCACCTCTTCTCACCAAAACTGGTCCCCACCTCCGCATCATTCTTGCCGGGGAAGGGTGGATCTTCGCCGAGGAGCATCTGAGTCGACATCAACTCAACCGCCAAATCTAGAATGCCAGTCACCTCATCATGTGGCCTCGTTTTCGTCTACCTTACCCCCAACAAATACCCATGCGGGCAACAACCAACAAGTACCGCGCGCTGCAAAACCAATTGCAAGTCCCGCCTTTATCACGAAAGTCTTGGAGGTGGAAGTGAAGCGACTTGTGACTTGTGTTAACTGCAGGCTACCCCAAATTCTGGGACCCTTTACTGCCCATCATACTGCCCCAATTGCTGAACGACTAAGCGCAACTGTGGCTACCAGGCCTTTTGACAACCCGAGGCCCTGGCATACATGATGACCCCGCAGCTCCACAAATCCGCCGAACGGTCATACACACCTCCCAGAACCTGAGGCACCGACCCTGGACTGAGAAACCCTGTCCAAAAGTCGTGAAAAAGACGCAGGGAATGAGAAAAAGAACGACCCTAAGAAAAACCAAACCCAACTGGCGGTTTCCTTTTTTTCGGGGGCCAAAGCAACAGGGTTCATTCCCACATCCCCTACCGACTTCGCAAGAAGAACCAGACCAGGCTTGCCGTCCCTCGGACCAGCCTGGGGTGAGCAGTAGAGGACAGTGCCCACCTTACTGCTGAGCACCTGGCACAGATTGCAGGATTTTGTGCGCTCAAAATTCCGCCCACATGGATCCCCTGATCTGAGGGTTCTTGTATTACAACCTGGGATTGCAGCCTTGGGAAATGACCTAGAATGGTTAAACAACACGGTTCTATCCAGAATGTGCCTAAATGGGGTCAATGCCCAGTGGGTGTATTCCCAGGGTGTAAAAAAATAATAAAAAAACGTAGACCTGATCCCCACATGTTCCATGCCCAAAAAGGAGTGATCGGCGCACAACACTGATTTATATATTTTTTTCGGGCTCTTCAGTTGGAGCGGCGGCCAGGTGTTTTCTATATCTGAAGCTGACTTTCATGGAATGAATGACAACTTTTTTGGACTTGGCCCCATACCTCACTCCCTGCTTTTTCCGTCTCCCGTCTCCCACAAGCAGAAGCTGCGAAGCTGCCTGTCCCGGCTGAAAGCTGCAGGCCAGACCGAAGTCCGCCAGCTTCAGCACGTTGCTCTCCACCGGCGCCTCCGGAGCCGTCGGGATGGTTTGGGGCATGTCAAGTGGGTCCAGTGGGCACCTCACAGGGGGTAGGACTCTAGGAGACTGATGGGGTTCCTTTAGGAGACTCTGATCTTGCAGGTACACTCCAGGTGCTATGTTTGTTAGTTTGTTGTTGGAAGGGTACCCACTTCTTTCACTTGTTTGTCTATTTTAGGGGAACCCTCCCAACCAAAAGAGGGGTGAGAAGGGCACCTAGCTGGGGGACCTGGTTGGGGCATGTCATGAAGTGGGTAAGCCCCAGGAGAAAACCGAGCGCGTTGGCCCAAACATCGGCTTTGTCGTGTTGCGTACTTGTTCCCATTGCGCCGCCCTCTCAGCTCGTACCGCGCAACAAAGCCTGGGCGCGAGCATCACAAAGGAGCCAAGGACCTGTGAGGCACCAAAAATGTAGCCAAGATGGCTGTGGCTCAAAAAACCTGTACCACAATGAAACCCTGGTAAGTGGAAACATGGACCAAAACCTGCGTAACCCCTCCTGTCTAATTTTGAGCCACACCCGGAAGAAAAATCGGCGGAGCGGAAGCATGGCAGAAAAATCCGCCCCTTGCCATGGCCGGGTATCCCGCCACCCGAATGCCCGGCGGTCACGGACCGAAGATCTCTGAGTGAGCCTATGCTCCCAGCCCGCCGAAAGGCCAACCGATGCCGGCATCCAAAGCGTCCGCCTCTCGGAGGAAGAGGAAGTTCGGCAGCTTCAGGTCCCGATGGCCTCAGGCCATGGGGCTTCGAACCAATCGGTAAGGTTGCGGGATGAATAAACCCGTCCCAGTATTAGGGAGTTCCCTCCAAAAGTGGTCTGAATCCCCACCAAAAAGGGGACACCCCCCTTTTTCATCTTCCGGGGGTTTATTAATCCGGGGTCTGCTTTCATCGACGATCTTGCCCAACCAAACCCCACACTCTTGGAACACCCACATCAAGTCCCAACCTTCCACCCATCCAGCTTTCGAAGGAGGCGAAGAATTCCCACGGCAAGCCACAAATGCCTTTGCAGTCGTGCAGGTAGGACACCTGGGCACGTCCGAGTGCGGCTGCGGCGCTGATGGCTTTATTCCAAGACACACGGAGCATTCCTGCCAGAAGCGGCCCGATTGCAAACGGGCCAAGGGAAAAGGTGAACCGTAAGAACTGCGTGAAAAACTGGCCAGGGGAGGCAAACAAAAGCGGGACTTGAGTGCAACCAAGGGGCGGATTTCAGAATCTGCTCCATCAAGATTGCCGCCTACAAGCACATGCGCAAAGGAACCGCGGCCAACAAGCCGGCCCTCACCCCGACCAGGGGCGACTAATTATTCCTTTGAACTCACAGCGGAGTCCCCTTTTCCCCAAGGAAATGGGGAAGATGAGTCCCCTATGCAGAAGCCCGTTCTCACGGCCCAAAACCAATCAGCCCAATTCCTGAACAGGAGTGAGCCACAAGATTTCCATCACCGCCCGGGCAAGCCACGCCTGGTGTTCGCTGTAGGGCCGGCCCTGGCGTTGCATGTGCATCCCCAGGTCGCCTCCCGCGCAAAGCTCCAAGACCTCGCAGCGATCGATCCAGCGCGAAGCAGGCACCTCCTTGAAGACTTCTCAGGGGGCCATGAACCGAGTTCTCATCAACGAGTCCCGGCTGGAAAACCACAGGAGACAAAAACAAACATCTGTGGCATTCCAGAACCCCTTGGCCAGAACCCAATAAAGGGTCACCAGATAGTGAAGCCTTGTGAGAAAAGCCGTGATACCGTCCGTCAGAATGGCAAAGCAGAATCTTCAGAGTCTTCCAATGAACCCTCTTGCGTGTGGCTGTGGCTTGCCAGGATGCCTGGGAGCTTCTTGGGGCTTTTTCTGTTGCAGATTTTTCCTTCACCCAAGGCGGCTGCATTCACTCTGTCAGCAACCGGCAAACACAGGCAACTCGCCCGAACATGTGGCCATGGGTCAGAAACCCGTACCCCCAGTGAACATCCCAATCCCTACAAAAATAGACTAAAATGGGTGGTGCACCTACCCCAAAATTGGATCCCATTGGTTTTGACCCACAGCCATGTGCCTCATGGGAAATGTCCGCCTCAAGCTGCGGGAGTGTCCTAAAGCCCTGGGCATAGCAGATCTGCTGTCCACACCGAGGGCACGACCAAGTAGATGTGCCCCTTGTCTTCGAAGGTTTCGTGCAAAGCTACCACATTCGGATGGTCTGTCCTGAGCAACGGAAGAGACACCAGTCAACACTCACGTCCGGTCTAGCCACATCTCCATCTTCAATTTACCCTCCCTCCAACTAACATGGCAACTGACAGGGGCTCCCTTCACAAGGAAATGAATCTTCCAGGTACCTCCCCACAGGTGCCATGTTAGTTGGAGGAAGGGTAGTTTGTTAAAAGCTCAAGGGAAAGAGTGGATTGAGATTGCCTCTCAAAGAGAGGCCTCGCGTTTGCCGTATTAAAAGCAGCCTCTCCCACGTGCAGTTGCCCGCAAGCTGACGCTTCATGGGGCCGCGGCAGCTTCATGACATCAATCTCGCTGCGGACCTGCACTCTCCTCATCTTTGCTTTGGCCTCCAACGGCTCCCAATGGCTGGGAGCTTGCAACACACACAGAGAGAGTAGAAATCCAGCTACAAAAGCAACAGGTGCTGACCCCAAACCACCGAGACGAAAGTCGCGAAGCCGCGAAGTCGCCTTGGACACCTTCTTCATGGCGTAGCGGTTCCCAGTCTCCAGGCTTTTGCCCTCGCGACAACCGGGCGACGGGCGGTTTTCGTTTCCGGCCGGAAAGCCGTGCCACTTGAAAGGGCTCGGCAAGTGGCTTGTAACAAAGGATTCAGCCCCCTCGAAAGGCTGAAGCAAGAGAGAGAGAAAGAGAAAGAGAAAGAAAGAAAGAGAGAGAGAGAGAGAGAGAGAGAGAGAGAGAAAGAGAGTGGCTGACTTGAGTTCCCCTCTCTTTTCCCACAACCTGAGTTGCTTGATGCAGTTCTCCCAGCTTCTTCCCACTCAGCTGGTAGGACGTCTTGACGTCGCCTGAAACGCATCGTCGGTGCATGCGCTCCGACGGAAGCAAACGGGGAGCTGTGCCGCGGCAAAGGAAACTTCCCGGCTCTCAAACGGACCGCAGCTATCTCTTCACTTGGCGGGGAGACGTCACATGCCAAGCGGAGCGTCGGAGACTGGAAGGCCATCAACGCGAGCTGCAGAAACCGACTTCGGTTTCTGGCACGCGCTTTTCCCAGACGAACAAACCAGGCTGCGGTTTAGGGAAAATTCGGGTTGGAGCCACTTTGCGACGCGCACTCCTGCCCATGGATGACATAGGTTTCGAGTTTGCCGCTATGCTGGTCAGATAGGGATGAATAGTAATAGTAGTTGAGTGTGGTTGACACCGAAATGTTTATGACAAATACATGAAGATCATCAAACAAAACACGTGCGAGAATACTTGTGAAAGTGAAAGCTGGCACGGTTTCCCGGCAAAGAGTCGCGCGTAACCCGGGCACCCTACCCCACCGAAGTTGCCAGATTTTGAGGTCATACTACTTTTTGCTGAGGCCGCGTGTTGTTGCCGCTGGCCGTAGTCGCTGACTTGCAGCTAAGCAACCATAGGTGTGAAGAATCAGATGGTTTATCCTGGCGCGCTCAGAACGATCAGACAGAGGAGCTGGCCTCATGTGACCCTCATGTCACAACGTCGGCCGCCTTGGCTAGCACGAAACTGTCCCTGTGTGGATGGATATTGGTGTCAAAGAACTCCTGCCAACTACCGCAACTTCACCAGCCATGCCCGGCATGTTTTGGAGCCGTGTCATGATGGACCCCTTACAGGTGATTCATTCTCTGACATGTACAAAACACTTTTTGGGGGTTTCCTGGCTGGATCTTCGGCACACCTATCAGAGGCCCGCTTCGGTCCTGCTGCTAAACTCTGTCGATACGTCTGCCCAGTGCTTGAACGCCTCGTGCACAGATTGACCCACCGAAAAATGTGGCTAGGCTTCCAGGTTGACATTTTAATCTCAACGGAACAACAGCTCTTGATTTATTTTTAGTTTTTTATGAATGTACTTGGGCAACATCCAGATTGCCGCCTTGCTCATGTCTGCCAGCGTGCTCCTGCTTGGGTCCGTCCAGCCAAAAACAAAACTGTTCCTGCTGTCGCTGAGGCCGTCCTACCTGCCAGGCCACAACAGTTTGAGAACATCTGCTCACTCGGGTAACCTGGGCCGTTGAGCATTTCTGCACATAAGTCTTGCACTCCCAAAGGTGGCAATACACTTGCCGTTTGACGTGGGGCACGGCTTCCACACCACCTAAGGAAAGGACATCATCCTCATCTGACGCGCCAGACTCCGACCTGAACACCGGAAAGCGCTCCACAAAACCAACCCATTTCCTTTCTTGTCAGCACACCCGGCATTGGAGCCAACAACTAGGTCCAAGGCTCATATAGTCCGCCAAAACAGAACTGCAAAAGTGGTGGCTTTTGTGAACGTCTATCGTTGCTGAAAATTCAATGCGACAACCGAATATGGATTGAACTTCAATGCCGCTTGAACATGCCAAGCCGTTTCACTTCTACCTCGGCTAAGGGCAGGGGCCTACGTTTCCCGGAGCAGCTTGCTTGGCCCAAAATGGAGGAGTACAATACGAGCCGTGGTCCAATTGAAATGTATGGCACTCGAGGCAGCAAGGCCCGCCCCCCCCCCCAATTGGGAGCTCCCGTGCGATGCCCAGCATCCCGCTCAGGCATCAGCTCGTCCAGGATATCGGTTGACCTTAGACGGGTCGCCTGGGATTCCTACCCCACAATCGTTACGAGCAATCTTACCAACCCTGATCTGTACATAGGCGTGTCTGTTTTTAGTGGACCCCTGCAACATGGTGGCTGTCCTAGGATAAGAATCAACCGACATGGGTTCCCCCCCCCCAAAAAAAAAAAAAGACAGGCCCACATGGAAAGACGCAAGCAATCCGTGGACTCTGTGCCGCACCCAGTTGGTCGCGATGGAGTGCTGCTGCATGCCGCAGCCTGCAAATCACTGCCATCAAAACCAGGGGTGGTT